CCGCTTTTAGCGCTATTTTCGCCTCTAAATTAAAATTATAAATATTGGTGATAGGGTTTCGAGAGATGGGACTTTTTTTAGGAAATATAATCCTCTTTAAGGATCTTTTTTAAATTTCGGATATCTTTAATATTTTCCGAGATATGTGCAAAAAATCAGACCCCCCTTTTTTACTAAATTGATTATAACTTTTGCAGTTTTTTCGAACCCCTCTTGAAATTTTTCAAGAAGTTGCTAGAGGTCATTTCGAATCGAATGAGCACTGGATCATAATTTTCGGTGCCCTTGGACAGAAGTTCCAAAAAAAGGATCTTGTGATCCAGACGATGATAGTTTTGACAGCTTTCTTGTAACCATAAATGTAGTGAAACAATTTGTAAGTGATCAAAGAAATGAAGGTTTCAAATATTCATTTACAGGAAGGTTGATTCAGGATCCACTTGAAAATCAATTTTCTTTTATTGCCAGAGAGGAGGATATAACAGAAACCCAACAGTAAAAGCATTTCGATCAACTTTTGAAATCAATATAGTCACCAATTTAATGAAGCCACGTAGAAGTGCCAATGCAGGCAGTGAACCAGATGATGACGATAACTTATGTCAAAATGTCAAAAAGTCAACGTAATGTGAAATCTTTAGAGAATGAAAAATGCTGTAAACACTGTAAAAAAAAAGTTGCAAACTCGGTAGACTGCAAAAATTGTGCATCACCATTCCATCCAAGCTGTGCAAATCAGGCAAATGTAGTGAATGGCAAACAAGAAATAGCATGCTGTGATACTCGTACCAAAAGTGAGGTTACCAAAACAATTGAAAAAATAAACACAAATTTAACTCTAGATGAAGCAAAACTAAAAATTATCCCGAGTAAAATGCTCCAAGAGTTTTTTGAGCCCATGAGGAAACACCTAGAAGAGGAAATACAAGAACTGAAGAAATCGGTGGAGTATATGTCAGACATTTTTGACAGTCAGAAAAAACTACAGATGAGGTATTAATAAAACTAAAATCAATTACAAAAGAAAATGATGAACTAAACCAACGTATACTACACTTAGAAAATAAACTTAATTGGTAGCAACAGAAGGAAAAAGAAAAAAATCTAATATTGTATGGAGTCCCAGGACAGCAGAACAAAGACACCAACAAATCACGATGGATATTGCAAATACAATGGGTGTATCAGTGAGTGGAGAAGATATTGAAACCAGTTTTAGAGTGAATAAAAAAGATAGTGCACCCATACTAGTTAAATTCCGACAGACATATTTACTTCAATGACGACATATCCTTGTAAACTCAAATGCTCTTCAAAAAAGTAAGAGATCTTAGAACCGAAAAAAACTGCAAAGCTGCGTACTGCATTCGAGGTGAAATATTTCTGGAAAAATGTGATACAGATAATCCAAAAAGGATACACTCTGAGAACGACTTGCAAAATTACTGAAACAAATACCAATAAAAATGACAAAGAAAAAAAGTGTCAAAATGGCAACTATAAATAAGATGAACATACTATACATAAATATAAGAAGTTTAAGGAACAAACTGGAAGACCTGGAAAGTCTAATTAACACAACACAGAAACAAATCCACTTAGTAGTTCTAACAGAAACATGGATATATGAAAATGAAACCCAATACTTCAACATCCCAAACTTTGAAGCAATACATACATGTCAAAATACAAGAGGTGGAGGCACAGCTATATATGTACATCAGGGAATACCTTATAGTGAAGAAAACTTAAACATGCAATACTGTGAAACAACAAAAATAAAGCTTAAAGAGAATGGATTCAACATCATATCAGCTTATCGACCGCCATCAAAAAATGTACAAGATTTCATCACTGAACTGGATGAAAGGTTAGATAGAATCAGGAAAAAATGTATTATCATAGGTGACATAAATATTGATCTGCTCGAAAATTCCGCAACAACCAATGAATATAAGCAGGTAATTGAAATCATCTTCGTTCAATTCATGAACTAGTCTAATCTTATATGGATGAAATTTGTACTTATGAAGGATCCTGAAAACATTTGTATGACTGATTCCTGATTCTCCAGATAACTTAGTAAGAGATTGGGAATTTTCCATAAGTCCAACGTGCCCTAAAACTGCAGTACAAATAGCTTCATCGTTGACAACTCCTGAACGGTTATGCTTTTTATTGTTAACAGATCTAGTTTCCATAAATTTGTTCAATAATTACGAAACGTATTTGTGTCGTAAATTTCTTCCCGGATGATTATCATTGAAGAATTCACAAAATCAGAAACACCAATTGTAACTTTACCTGGTAGGTAATCGTTATTGTAGAACGAGACAAATACCAAATGAAGAGAATTTCGAATTCAAACTTAACTAAGCAGAATAAGACATTTTTGAAGTATACTTCACAAAAACATGTATAAAACCAGAAGTTCATTCAGGGTGGCTCGTTTTCAATTCAAATAATTTTTAGCTTCCAAACTATGAACTTCAGACCATAATGTATTCTACTATTTGTGATGTACTGTTTGGAACCTTTGGTGTAGTAATGCATATAACTGGAGTTTTTTCCTAACACCAAACCGTTCAAGAGGAAGATCAAACTGTTTGATCTTTCTCTTGAAGATAATAATAATAATACTTTATTTCCGTGTAGACAATATACATTGTATAGGAATAGTCAATAAAAGAAATAAAAATAAAGATAAAAACAGAGTATATCATACTTATTCATTAGAAAAAGTTGAAATCAAAGTAACAGTTTGAAGTGGATCAATCGTACCTATCAAATCGTCAACAAAATAACAAAAGTCTGATATAAGAGAAAATAGAATAGACATCCCACAATGAAGTAAGCGTATTAAGTCCCATTCTGTTTGTATTTTTTATGAGTGATATCTTCTATCAATTATGATGATGGTTTCTAGCTACAATTATCAAAATGTAATAACTGAATCATAACACCTATTTGAAAAAGCACAGCAACGGTTAATACTGACAAAACTAAGGTTATCCTATTCAGAACCCTTCAACAATGAAATTGATATACAAGACAAGATAATTGTTAGGTATACATATCAATGAGCATCTACATTGGCACATCCACACTATAAACTTGAGAGAAAAAACTTATCAAGTCTGCATTCTGCTAACTATAAGCATTATTAGTGCTATGTTGACAAAAAAAAAAACATTCAACATCGTTATTTTCAAATTGAAGTAAAGCGATTTTAGATAGTTATTAGTATTTTTTAGCTGTTTTGCACAATTTTTCCGACGTTGTTGCACTTTATGACTTATTTTATCTTAAACAATGTAGAGAATTCCTCATAATATATATTATTATAACCCAACTGATGATGTAATAAAATTAAAGACACCTAAACCTTAAAATTTGTGCTGTCGCCTTTGATGTCTACTGCAGTTGTAGACGAAACATTAGGCAGAAAAACTTATAGAACATAACTAAAAACGTGCGGTTCCCAGTATTGTGTAAATGTATTGTAATACTCACCAGAATATTGCCCATATTGTGTGGTATAGGCCAAGTTCAATTGCTTAGTACCCCATAGATAGTGATGTGACATTTGGGGAGGTCTATCTCTAGACACAGCTGTTCCAAAGGCTATGCCACGATATTTGGTAAACCTAAAATATTCACTTATTTCAGAACTGTTCAACTATTAGAAGCAGACTCACCTGTTGGTAGCAGCATTGTAAACATAATTAGGCAAAAAATCATAGTTAAGCTCCCAGAAGACATGGAGCGTTATTCTACCGTAAGGAGCTAAAACGTTATGATTTGCTTCCCTAAACATTGAATCGTAATCATCCAAAGCCAACCACTTGCTCAATAACTTATGACATAGGCGATTAACCTGAAAGCAATCAAATTTTAAATAATCATTTTTAGAAAATCATTACTATAAATTGAACTGCATACCTGCAAAAGTCCCTCCAGTTCGGTGACTCCGGTGATGTCTCCGGCTTCAAATTTACTAATCGCCAAATCAAGGGATTTTTGCATGTCCGCGTTTATTCTTTGGGTGATCAGCTTATTTAAATCAATTGATCTACCTAGTAACTGCACATGTCTCTGTTTCAACAAAGTTTCATATCTGTTTGCTCTTGGATAGGGCAACAAGTATGCTCCGATAGCTGAACACTCTACTCGAAAACGTTTATCAAGGAATATGCTAGAAAGTATGACAATAATGATAACACACTTCTATTCCATTATTTTGTTATCGGAGAAAAAAATTATTATACCACCAACCTTGCTGCTAATTGTTTATAATAGGCAAAGATCTGCTCACTCAGTTTATAAACAAACTGATCAAAGCACAAATTCACCTCGGCTTCTACTTCATCATACAAGAACTGTTTTCGGAATATTGTTAAAGCATATAATGCGCTGTCATTGTACAAGTCCAACGGATATAAAACATACCTAGAATTTTTGGATAAGCAAAAAAAAAACTTCAAAATATCACTTACTCCATCATTGAGGGCTCCTTTGTTTTCAAAATGTGATCAGTTAAAATCCACGGCATTGACATATCGATTGGAAACTGTATTCTTTTCTCCATTGTAATTAAATCGTTGCATTCTTCATTATGGTGATGACGTACGGTACATTTCTGCAAAGTGATTAAGGTATGCTGAGAGTTTCAACAAAGCTCATGATACTTACATTTATTCTTCTTCCCATGGTCATTTCCAAATAAAATTCCCTATACCATAATTGTGAAAGGTCACAACATTTTTGCAAGAATTCTAAAAATAAAAAGTTCAAATGATTTACAAGTTAACTCAATTTGAAATCTGTACATTCAATATACTTTTCATTACACTCAGTATAACATATTTTGTATATATTATATCTTGATAGAAGATATTGGGTTAATTTTCATGCAGCAGTATTAATGTAATGTTTGTATATTAGGATTTTCTATTCATATAAATTCAAATTCAATTCAATTCAATACCCCAAGATCAAACAACCAGATATCAAGAAATTTGTAACTTTGACATGTTTTGGTAAATGAACAGAGTCAGTCAATTGCATGATTTTTCAGAAATCCAATGTAGAAGTGGCATCCAGGCCACATGTCAGGTTATGTAATTTCCTCTTTAATGCCAAAGATAAAATGGACAAGACAGAGAAATCTGGAGTTTATAAGCTCAAGTGTCCGGAGTGTAATAGTATTTATGTGGGACAATGAGGCCGAAATTTCTCAAAACAGTATGCTGAACATGAAATATCCTTGAAACTAGGTAAAAATGATTCGAACGATATGAATATTTTGCACTATGCATGCAAGGGTTGGGAACTCAATGGAATCCTTTGAAATTCATAAGCATAAGCATTGTGTATGTGACCTGATGAATGACCAAATTGACCTAGTCTATTCGCTAGTTTTCAGATTAGTTCAGGTACTCATTTAAATTAAGGATCATCTGTTATTACCTACAGTGGTGTATATAATATATAAGGGGTAACATTGTTAGTTATAAGTGGTAAAAAAACAGAAAGTTTTATTTCTCATTCTTCATGATGATCTCCTACCATGTAGGAACGGCTACATCCATTGATTTTTTCCCAATATAACTGGAATTGCACCATTAAGATTGTGTTTATTGGATAAATTATCTGATATTTACTATGCAATTGATAATTCTTGAAAATTATTGTCTCACTGAAGACTCAATATTTAAGAAATGAAATAAGCAAAAAATCTACAGCTAATGATCCTCCTTCTCTGAATTTTTTTAAATGTCACTTTGTAATAGATTAATGACTTTCATGAAAAAGTGTAATCTCTTGAACTCACCCCAACATGGTAATATTAAAGAAATATCAATTGAACCAGCAATCATAGAGTTCATTAAATATTACGGAGTCATTTGAAAATAATGAAATACTTATTGGGATATTCTTAGAATTTTCTAAAGTCTATAATTGACTCAAGCATACTTATTCATTAGAAAAAGTTGAAATCAAAGTAACAGTTTGAAGTGGATCAATCGTACCTATCAAATCGTCAACAAAATAACAAAAGTCTGATATAAGAGAAAATAGAATAGACATCCCACAATGAAGTAAGCGTATTAAGTCCCATTCTGTTTGTATTTTTTATGAGTGATATCTTCTATCAATTATGATGATGGTTTCTAGCTACAATTATCAAAATGTAATAACTGAATCATAACACCTATTTGAAAAAGCACAGCAACGGTTAATACTGACAAAACTAAGGTTATCCTATTCAGAACCCTTCAACAATGAAATTGATATACAAGACAAGATAATTGTTAGGTATACATATCAATGAGCATCTACATTGGCACATCCACACTATAAACTTGAGAGAAAAAACTTATCAAGTCTGCATTCTGCTAACTATAAGCATTATTAGTGCTATGTTGACAAAAAAAAAAACATTCAACATCGTTATTTTCAAATTGAAGTAAAGCGATTTTAGATAGTTATTAGTATTTTTTAGCTGTTTTGCACAATTTTTCCGACGTTGTTGCACTTTATGACTTATTTTATCTTAAACAATGTAGAGAATTCCTCATAATATATATTATTATAACCCAACTGATGATGTAATAAAATTAAANTCAAACCATTTATATGGAATGCATAGAAGATATTGGGTTAATTTTCATGCAGGAGCACTTTGAATTTTACTAACAAACACGAAGAACTTTTTTAATCTTAGCTGTTTTGTAGGACAACTCTGTATCATATACTTCTTTCTCGAGTTTAATAAAAACTACCACCACAAACTTATTACTATTATTATATAAAAGTAAATACTTCAGGCTCCGAAGTGGCAGCGGCAAACTGTTAGTTAATGATCTTGAATGTGAAGACCTGTCAGTATAACAGAAGCAAAAATCAGTAGTCCCTTCATGTCATATATTACTAATCTACAGATGAGAAGCTCTATTTCATATGCTTTGTTGCTTTTCCGAACATTTTAATGGATTGACATTTTGATAAACAGATTTTGTTTTGGTGTAAAGGTGATAGATTTAATACGACAGTAATTAAAATGGTAACATAGACATGAGGAAAAGCAGATCAGCTCAACAGCACTCCATGACTGCATGGTTTATCTTAACCTTTCTCTCTGTATTTCTCTATTGTGTGCTTTAGTGTCACAACATATAAAATGTTTTATAGTCAAGTAACACTTTGTTGCGAGATTTTTACTGCAGTTTACAATACCTAACACGTGTTTTCTCAGAAATGTTCATACTAAATAAATTCTATCTAATTAGTGCTTTATATACTGTAACAATTCGAATAATATTACGTTCTACCTACCTAATGTGTTTAGGTATAAACTAATTAAGATTTAAACATTAGAAAATGATTTCAGGAACTCATTAAATGGACATGTAATAAGCTAATTACCAATTTCCTCAGAAGATTTGATAGACGGAAAGTATTCAACTCAATTTGACCATTCCGTTAATTTTTAGAATTCTTGAATCTATTCATTTCCAGGTATTTCAAAAGATTGAATTTCAAACCTTTCTCTTTCAAATGTAACATGTCATTAGCCGTGATTAAACACATGCCCCTCTGTCAATGGTTTGCAAATGTGGAATTGTCTTCACATTCAAGAAAATAATCCTATGCTCTGTTATTATTTCCTTGAGAATTCTGAAAATGCACTAATGATCAAATACCCAAAGAATAGAAATTCATAGAAGTAGTTTGCTGAATGCGAAGACCACATTTAAAAATCATCATTTGGTAGTGGGGCATGATCCATGATAATAATTATAG